GTGTGTGTGTCGGCACACCCAGTGCAACGCGTCGCGGCCGTAGGAAGATCCACCGCAGGCCCCAGTGGCAGGGTCTACATGGCGCCGGCGCCCTATTTTGGCGCACCCCTCACACGGCCTGTAACCCCATGGGCGGCTCCACCGAAGGCCCAAGTGGCAGGGTCGACATAGCGGTGCCGCCCCATTTTGGCGCAATCCTCGTACAGTTCGTGGCCCCGTAGAGCTCCACCGAAGGCCCCAGTGGCAGGGTCCACATGGCAGCGCCGCCTCATTCTGGCGCACCCCTCACACAGTTCGTGGCCCCACAGGGAGCTTCACCGAAGGCCCCAGTGGCAGGGTCCACATGGCTCCGCCGCCCCATTTTGGCGCACCCTTCCCACGGTTCGTAGCCCCGTAGGGAGCTCCTCCAGAGGCCCCAGTGGCAGGGTCACATGGCGCCGGCGCCCCATTTTGGCGCACCCCTTGCACAGCTTGTAGCCCCATAGGGAGCTCCACCGAAAGCCCCAGTGGCAGGGTCCACATGGCGCCGCCACATCATTTTGGCGCACCCCTCGCACGGTTCGTGGCCCCACAGAGAGCTCCACCAAAGGCCCCAGTGGCAGGGTCCACATGGCGCCGCCGCCCCATTTCGGCGCAATCCTCACACGGTTCGTGGCCCCATAGGGAGCTCCACCGAAGGCCCCAGTGGCAGGGTACATGGCGCCGCCGCTCCATTTCGGCGCACCCCTCACACGGTTCGTGGCCCCACAGGGAGCTCCAACAGAGGCCCCAGGTGGCAGGGTCCACATGGCGGCGCGGGCTGCATTTCGGCGCACCCATCACACGGTTCGTAGCCCCTCCCTCCCTCTTTCCCTCCCTCCCTCCCTCCCTCCCTCCCTCCTGCTCAATCCTGCTCTCTCCTGCTCCCTCCCTCCCTCCCTCCCTCCCTCCCTCCCCTCCCTCCTCCTCCTTCCCTCCTCCTCCTCCTCCTCCTCCTCCTCCTCCTCCCTCCCTCCCTCCCTCCCTCCCCTCCCTCCCTCCCTCCCTCCCTCCCTCCCTCCCTCCCTCCCTCCACCAAAGGCCCCAATGAGAGGGTCCACATGGTGGTGCCGTCCATTTGGGCGCACCCCTCACACGGTTCGTGGCCCCATAGGGAAGCCCCAGTGGCAGGGTCCACATGGTGCCGCCGACCCATTTTGGCGCAACCCTCGCACGGTTCGTGGCCCCATAAGGAGCTCCACCGAAGGCCCCAGTGGCAGGGTCCACATGGCGCCGGCGCACCATTTTGGCGCACCCCTCACACGGTTCGTGACTCCATAGGGAGCTCCACCGAAGGCGCCAGTGGCAGGGTCACATGGCGCCGGCGCCTTCACATGGTTCGTGGCCCCATAGGGAGCTTCACCGAAGGCCCTGGTGGCAGGGTCCACATGGCCGGCGACGCTCCATTTCGGCGCACCCCTCGCACGGTTCGGGACCCCATAGGAAGCTCCACCGAAGGCGCCAGTGGCAGGGTCCACATGGCGCCGCTGGCCTATTTTGGCGCACCCCTCTTACGAATCGTGGCCCCACAGGGGGCTCCACCGAAGGCCCCAGTGGCAGGGTCCACATGGCGCCGCCGCCCCTTTTTGGCACACCCCCTCCGTAGCCATTTTGGCTCAAGCGAGCCGCGCGCTTCGGGAGGCCCTCGCCAGCGCGCCTGCTCGGGCGCAGGCGCGCAAGCGGCCATGGAGGACGTCGCCTTCTTCAGCAAGACTTCCGGACGCCGCTGGGCTGCCGCGAGTGCGAGGACGCTCGCGCGTCGCCGTCGGCGGCAATATCGTCATGAAATCGGACTTTCGCGTGCTCAGGCGCTGCAGCGGCGCTTGGTCCTGCTCCGCGTTGGACTTACCGCCCACTGGGACCTGAGCGACGCCATCGGCGGCCACTACCCCAAGATGGGCGACGCCCTTGCTGCTGCCGATCTTCTTGGGGCTGTGTCGCCCGATCTCATCGCGTTGGCGGCCGCAGCCTGTGCTGACAGCAACTGGGCTCGGCACGCGCCACTACGCGACACGCCTGCCATCCCCAAGATGCCGATCGGCATCAGCCTGGTCACTCTCGAGCTGTTCCGTGCCGCGTTATACCACGGCCAGTACGACTTCGAGCAGAAGACCGTGGACGACCTGCTGGGCGCCCTGCTGTGTGATGGCGATGTTCCTCACCCTGGCGACCCTCATGCTCCTGCAGATGAGCCTTCTGTGCGTGCAGATGTGCCTTATCGTGATGATGAAGAATTTCCTGGTGGTGCTTTTCCTGCTGAAGCGGTTCATGGCGTTTCTCCTGCCGGCCTGCCTGATGAGCTACCTGACGATCCTGGGGCTCAAGGGCTACCTGATTTTCCTGGTGGAGCCGCTCTTCCTGAGCTACCTGACGATTCTGGTGGAGCCGCTCTTCCTGATGATGCTGATCTTCGTCTTCCTGCTCGTAGGCGTGACCAAGATCGATGCGCTGATCTTCATGGCGTGGGCGGCGCTCGCTGGTGGACTGCCCGCCAGGCCATCGCCGACGCCTGGCTGCTGCGCCCTGATCGCGATGATCCTGTCCTCCGCGCTGGGCCCGCGACTGAAGTTCAGAAACTTGCTGCTCCTGCCGCTGGTCGCGACAACATCGGGTTCACGTTCGCCACGAACTCGTTCCGACCTGGTTCGTCTGTCTACGACTCGTCTGGCGGAGACTGGTACGACAGCATGCCCAGAGGCTGGAAGCTGACGCCGCACCGCTCCAAGCGGGCTGTATGACGCCCCCCGCGCGCCTCAGTTGCCCTCCCCGCGACCTCCCCTCACTCCCGTCTGTGTGTCCTGTTGGGGGGCGGGAACGGGAGGGATGGAGGATGAGGAGGCTGTCTTGAGATCTCTCTCTAGTTGCCGCCCCGTTTATATAACAGATTGTCCAGTGTTGGCGCTACCACACGTCCGAGGATGATCTTTTGAATTGCAGGTGCATTCGGGCCCTCGAGGTTTCGTGCCCCTGTTTGTCGGTCGTGGCCCTCCGCCTCGTCTCTGTCTGGGTTCCTGGGTCCGTCCCTCGTTCCCTTTTCGGTCCCCTTCGGGCCCCTTCGCTCTTCGTCGGAGCAGGAGTGTTTGGCAGACGTTCACCCGCGAGCAAATCAAAAATTTTGGCACACCTCTCACACGCTTCGGGGCCCCATAGGGAGCTCCACCGACGGCCCCAGCGGCAGGGTCACATGGCGCCGCTGGCCTATTTGGGAGCACCCCTCTCAGGGTTCGTGGCCCCAAAGGAAATTCCACCGAAAGCCCCAATGGCAGGATCCACATGGCGGCGCTGGCCAATTTTGGTGCACCCCTCACACGGTTCGGGGTCCCATAAGGAGCTCCTCCGAAGGCCCCAGTGGCAGGGTCCACATGGCGCCGGCGCACCATTTTGGCGCACCCCACAGGCGGGGTTCGCACGGCGGTGCCGCCCATTTTGGCGCACTTCTCGCACGGGCCGTGGCTCCATAGGGAGCTCCGCAGAAAGCGTTCTGCACATGATTGGGTCCTTCGCCAAGAGAATTTTAGCTTGAGGATCATAAGGGGCTGGCATGTCTCAAGCGAAACGCCCAGGCCGCACTACCAACGCGTCTCGGGGTGCGACAGAGCACAATTATCTAGCAGGAAAGTGGATGAACGAGGAAAACGAGGAGGACGAGGAGAAGGAGGAAGAGGAGGAGGAGGGGGAGGAGTAGGAGGGGGGCCAGGGTAAACCCAAGAGTCATCAACGATGTTGGAATAAACCCTCCCTCCAAGCTCCCTCTTCATAGGTCCCTACAACGGTTCATTTCCATTGAGGGAACTGCCGGGAGAGGAGGGAGAGGAGGTGAGGACGGGGAAGAGGAAGAGGGGGAGGGGAGGAGGAGGCAATTGTCTATATCCCCCACTCCTCGAAGCCGTGGGGTGCGACCTCCCAAGTGGAGGATATTTGGACTCTGTCGGGAACTCTTGCTTAGAGAGTCGCGGCGGCGGCCCTGGCGACACGCTAATGTCCTGCAAGCGGACAGCGTGTCGCTCCGCTCCGCCGGACAGGAGGCTCGGGAAATGGATAGCGTGGTGGGCCAGAACCGACGGAGCGACACACTATCCAGAAGTTCCCGACCGTATGGGCCGTATGGATATTGCGCGCGGGCATGAATTCTCGACGTCGGCACTGTCCGCAGTGGCGAGAGCGGGAAACGGGGTGGGGTGGGGCCCCTCTAGGGCCCCAGACCTAGCCGAAGTCGGCGCAGCATTCTCGACTTGATCTACATATCAACCTCGGCCGAGATTTGGGCCTTCGCCCACATGTTCTAGCTGTGGATCGGAGGATTGGGCTCGCAGGGCCGACGCTACTCATTGCACACTGGCTGATAATTAGCGTGTCGCCCTGCTTCATGGGACGGGAGGCTGGAAAAAGCTCGGGACGTTGACGCTTGGTGACTCGGGCGTGCACAGCGTGCCGCGCCGAAGCGTGGTGATCCAGGAACCGGCGGCGCGACGCGCTAAGCAAACGTTCCTGGCCGAACTTCCAGCCAGGGCCCATTTTTTCTTCGGAGGCGTGCCGAGGGGGGAAGTGAGAGGAGGCAAGCCTTTTCAGAGAGCGGTGGGGCTTGTCACGAGCCCTCTGGCTTTCTGAGAAGCCCTCTATGGCCTCGGAGAAAGCTCTTCTGAGAAGGTCCGTCCCTTCTGCCTTCGGGGGGGAGGGGGAGGGAGGGAGGGACGGAGGAGGGAGAACGACCCAGCTACCACCTGGTCAGAGGAAGGGGGGAGGAGGTGGAGGGAGGACGCGGAGCAAAACGGGTGGGAGGAGGGGAGGAAGGGAGGTGGGGAGGAGGAGGAGGAGGAGGAGGAGGAGGAGGAGGAGGAGGAGGAGGAGGAGGAGGAGGAGGAGGAGGAGGCACGGTGAGCGAATGGTCTGTGCGCCCCCCCGCCCTCTGCCTTCCCCTCTGGCCTGATTGTTCCTTCCCTCCTTCCTTCCCTCCTGCACGCGCTTGCTCTCCCCGTGAAGGCCTTCGGGCACAGCTCGGGCGTGCAGTCCTTCAGAGCTCCATCCTCATCGGAACCATGGGGAGTGGGAGCGGCAGGAGGAACGTGAGCACCAAGAGTGCCAGAAAGGGTGTATAGCAGAACGCATAGCGGCAAAAATAAAACTTTCGGAGGTCCGACCAGATTTCTTGGATCTGCGCTGAATCCGCCTCCCTGGCGCTCGGAGCGCACGTGGGGCGGTGCGAGAGGCGCCGCCAAGGGGTTCCAGCGCAGATCCAAGAAAGCCGGTTCGGAACTCCGAAAGTTTATGTTTGTGCAGGTTTTCTTCTTCGGAACTACAAGCTATGATGGTAAAGCAGGGGGCATCGATCCACAAGCAGGGTGAAGTGGGGGGGTCAGCCCGAAGCGATGCGAAGCTGCGCGTGCGGGCCTGGCCGCAGCCAGCGGCAGATTCGCGGTGCGTCCTCTCGTTCCGCTGGCGGGGGGCGGCCGCGGGGGGGCTGTCCCGTGCAGTTGCCCGTGCGGTTGTCCCGTGCGAGTTGTCAAGCGCGGGTGTCCCGCGGTTGTCCCGAACGAAAATGCCACGGACGATCGCTAGCTGGGTGGTTTTGAACTGTATATCTGTATATACATTAGAACCACGCGCGCGCTTAGGTTCTAGTCAGCCCCTGCGCTTGTCAAGTTCACATAGCCACTAAAGCAGTTACCCATACATGGGTGGATCATGGGGTACCGCATCTAAAGCGCGGGCAGAACATATACGAATTGCCGACAAGGACATTTCCATAATATTCAATGTGAAGATATGCACACCATTGACAGCAATGGTGACCAAAACGGCAGCGCAGTGCAATGCATTGGCATGTAATCAAACCAGATGCGGGTCCAATGCAGCCCGAAGCGATACAAGCACAATTTATCAGAACACATGCACAGCAATGCAATGACATGCAACGCACGGCAAAGCAAAGCAACGTAGAGCAATGCTCGCCAGTGAAATGTGGATCACGCAACAATTCAAGAGCACATGCAACGGGAAGCAACCCAACGGAACACAATGCAACATAATGCAACATCGCGCAGACGACCGAACATGATTCCAGGAACCCAGGTATCCCAGGGACGAGCCACCCTAGAAAAAGGCCAAGAGCACCCAAAGGGGAGCCCAAGACAGGGCCAAAGGGCACCCAAGAACAGTGAATGAGCTCTCTGAGAGAGGCTCCAAGGGCCTCCAAGGGGGGCCCAAGCGGGGCACAGGAGGGACCCAAGAGGCGCTCCAAGAAAGCCAGACGATGGCGTCAGAACGAGAGGGCCCAAAGCAACGCCCCCTCAGCCCGAAATGCAAGGCGTGAGGGCTCACGAGCAGCCCCAAGAGTGGCGTCAAGGGTGCCGCACGGAAATCCCGAAGTGGACTCCAAAAACCCTCTTATTAACCTGGCAGGGGTGGAGCCTGGCGCGCGCGGCACCAAACTCGCACTGGACGCCCGCGGCGAAACGGAGGCAGCGGAGGCACCGCGACGGTGGCGGTGGCAAGAAGCGCACCCCAGGCTCTAGCAAGCCGCAGCCCTTGACTGAAGTAATGACCCACACATGTTTTGAACTCGAGGTGAAAAATACCAACCACGCGGATCACATAGCATCCCCCGCCAATCTCGGCACGCCCCTCACACGGTTCGCGCGGGGGCGCCTTGGGACACTGTGGCTTCAACATTGAACCCCCCCCCAGGACCCAACCTTGACTGCGTCTCGCGGCGGGGGGGGGCGCCTCGGGACACCAAGGCTTCAATCTTGAGCGCCCCCAGGCCTCCCCCATTTGACCGCGGGCGAAATGTCGTGGGCGGCGGGCCATGAAAATGGCCCGCCGGCCAAAACCAAGTTCCTCGGTCCTCGCCCCCCAAGCTAGCGCGACGCTGAGCGCCCGTGAAAGTGAAGCAAACCCGACCGGACTGCAGGGTGGCGTGCTGTCCGCTCGCGGCTCGTACTGCCACCGTGCCTGGGTTGTGGGTCAGACGCTTCTTGGATACCCGTTGGGGTCTCCTGGCATGATTCTCGGGCGCCCCTGGGAGCCAGTCTTGGAGCCTCTTGGGGCCTCTTGAGGGCTGTTTGGGGCCTCTTGAAGCCTCTTTCGGGCCTCTTGGGAGCCTGCTGGCGGCCTGGAAAGTCAATTTGGGCCGGAGGGCTCGACATGTGAGCTGGAGTTCCCTTTCTTTGGCCCCTCGTGGGGCCATCTTGGGCCGTCCTGGGCGCCACTTCGACCGTCTTGGGGCTCTCTTGGGCTCTCTTGGGCCTCTCTAGGAGGCATTTTGAGCTGTCTTAGGGTGATCTTCGTGGCCTCTTGAGCCGTTCTGGCCGCTGTGATGACCTGACAACCAAATATGCTGAACATATAAACTGTCCAATGGGAATGGATTAGTTACGGCCATCAGGGGCCCTCTTGGGGAGCATCTCAGAGCCTTCCTGGGGAGTCTTGGAGGATTCTTGGAATCTCTTCGGTCATCTTGAAGCCATCTCGGGGCGTCTTGGGCCGTATTGCGCCGCTTTCGTCACCTTCGGTGGAGCTCCCTATGGAGCCACGAAGCGCTGTACTGGGTGTGCGGGACGCATGCGGACGGTAGCACTGGGACCTTCGGTGGGGCTCTCATGGGAGGAGTGCCAAAAGAGTCCCGACTCAGAGCGGCAGTCGACCTGGGATCCCTTCCCATCCGTAAGGCCCCAAACCTCGGGCCCAATAGATGAACCGTCGAGGGGAGGAGGAGGAGGAGGAGGAGGAGGAGGAGGAGGAGGAGGAGGAGGAGGAGGAGGAGCCAATAAATGAACTGCCGAAAAGCAGGGGGCGAGAGTTGGGGGGCCCAGCGCCGTGTGGTGACGGATCGCGTGGTGACCTCGGAAACCCCAGCGACCTCACAGCGCGGTCCGTCACCGCACGGTCTTGGGACCCTGAGGCTCAGGCCGCCGGAAACGTCTTCGGAAAACGACCCGAGTCCCAAAACTGTGCGGCGACCCATAACAGAGCCTTTTTTCCCAACCACCCTGTGGTGTTGGGTCCTCGTCATGGAGAGACAGCGCCGCGCGTCCTCTCACGTCCTCCCGCCCTCCTCACCCTCCTCCCTCCTCCCTCCTCCCCCTCCTTGCCTCTGCTCCCCGCATCAGTCTACCATGTCGGCACACCCCTCAGACGTTTTGTGGCCCCATAGGGAGCTCCACCGGAGGCAACAATGGGAAAGTTCGTATGGCACCGCCGCCACATTTCGGCACACCCCTCACACGTTTCGTGGTCCCATTGGGAGCCCCACCGAAGGCCCCAGTGGTAAGGCCCCAGTGGGAGAGTTCGCATGGCACCACCGCCTCATCTCGGCACACCCCTCACACGATTCGCGGCCCCATAGGGAAATCCACCTGAGGCCACGGTGAGAAAGTTCGCATGGCACCGCCGCCCCACTTCGGCACACCCCTCACATTTTTCGTGGCCCCATATGGAGCTCCACCTAAGGCCACAATGGGAAAGGTTGCATGAAACCGCCGCCCCATTTCGGCACACCCCTCACCCGCCTCGTGGCCCCATAGGGAACGCCACCGAATACGAGATTCACATTTGCGGCACTCACAACTGCATATGGTTGGGTCCTTCGCCAGGCTAATTGTCATGCCTCGCGGGAGTGGCTGTTACCGGCCTCGACCGCTCCCACCCACCGGTAACGTCACGATCGTGCTGGACTCCCAGACGGTTCGGGAGGGCTCCAAGAAAGCTCCCAGAGAGCACCCCAAGCAGTGGCACCCAAGAGGGCCCTTTGGGTGCCACTGTCAGAAGGCGCTCTTGAGGCGCTCTTGGGCTTCTCTCGGGAGCCTTTCGGAATCTTCTGAGGAGCCCAAGAGGAGCCCAAGAGTAGCTTGTTGGCCCTCTTGGAACCATGTTCGAGGCGTCTTAGAGCCCTCTCAAAGACCCCATTCGTGTCCAAAAGAAGCCCAAGAGCAGCCCGGGAGGGACCCAACAACACTCCAAGAGGACCCGAAGATGGCACCCCGACAGTGGCACCCACGAGCCACTCTAGGGGGCCAGTCGGGTGGCCTTTTGGGTGCCCCTCTTGGGGTCACCTTGGGCCCCCTCTGGTCTACTCTCGAGGCCCCGTTGGGCTTCTCTCAGAGCCCTGGTGTGACCGAGAAACTTTCTCAGCCGCCTGTCGGGCCGCTAAGATCAACCGCGCGCAGCTGATCTCACAACTGGATATCGTTTAATCGACCCTTATCCCCACTGGCGTGGCCCTCGTCCCACTGAGCGATTTACCCCCCCACACGGTGGGATATATGCCGTCTCCCTCGGGTTTCAGGGGGTAAACCTTTACCTCGGCGGCGGGGGGAAGGGTAGGTTGGTAGGAGGCTCAATCGGGGTTGGGGTCGGTTAGCCGATACTGAATAACCTCCGCCGCTTTCCCTATCCTCCCCCCACCCCGCTCTATCCGGCTTTATTATCCTGAGCTGTGTGTTCGCTCCAGAAGACCAATGAAGGATTGTGGAGCCTGAGAACGGCCGAAAACGTTCCGTCAGCGTCGTCGCCCGTGGGGAGGGCCTCATGAATCCAAGTCCCAGAAGCCCGTTTCGGAACCTGGATGGTGGGAATGTCTTGGAGGCTGCTTGCGGCGTTCCGTCGTCGTCGTCGCCCATGATAAGGGCCTGATGAATCATGCTCCCGGCAAGCCTTCTGGGGACATGATTTTTGGGAATGTCTTGGGGGCCTGCTTGGGGTGTTCCGTCGTTGTCGTCGCCTCTTGGGGAGGCCTTCCGAAGGCGCCAAGAATGATGTCCCTGGAAGGCTTGCTGGCAAAATGAATGTTGGAAGTGTCTTGGAGGACTGCGTGGGGCGTTCCGTCTTCATCATAGCCTCATGGGAGCCATGTTGGGAGGCTGGTGAATTATGTTCCTGGCAGGCCTTCTAGGAACATGATGTTGGGGCGTACTCCAATCTTGGAGGGCTGCTGATGGTGCTGCTTCATTGGCGTCGGCCATGCCTGGGGCCTGATGAATCATGTTCCCATAAAGACTTCTGGGAGCATGATCTGCGGGAATGTCTT